GATTTGGATTTGGATGGGGAGGTGATGGACCTGGCGGCAACGGCGGTCGTTGTTGGTATCCCGGTTGTGCTAAAAAGTCAACAGGAAGTCATAATTAAATTAGACATACCCTAATCAAGAGCTATGATATATCTTCGAGCCATGCTTTGTCACCACGTTCACAATAATTCCACTGTTTTGCACCCTTTTTTCTCTGTTTTGCACTTTTCAATGGCTTAAGACATACAACGACTAATGTCGTTGTTAATTTTCTTTATATCTTGTGAGATTGTACTTGGATTGAAAACCTAAATAATTATATTTCCCATTTTGTTTGTTCTCACTTCTTATGTCAATCTTTGGCTGATTTAATCAAGTGCAATTAAAGATGTTCCCGTTTAAGTTCTTGGAATATCAAATGATGTGTTTTAATTCGTCATATAATGGGTCTATTTCGGGTTCAAATGAATTGTGGCTCAACGTACGCAATCTCAACAATCCTATCATTTCCTTGAACTCTTCTATATAGATTGATAGATAATAGTATGACAAAATTTCGATAACTGTAAGTATGTAACATTCTAGATATTAGGATTAAGACAGTGTTTACAAAAGTATGTTTTGACCAATTAAGTTTGTTAAACTATAATTTGTAGTCTAATGGCCTGTATTACTGAATTTGACCTCATAAGTCACAAGTGTATGAATCGTATACAAAACAAAGAAAACAATTCAGTTTGTTAGTTTAAACTAGGATTGACAAAACTAAGATTTCATTGCAACACATAATGACATAATTAGCAAACATATAATTAATGCACCTTACACGTACTATTTAAAATGCATTTTTTTTTTGTAGTAATGAGTCTTACATTCTTATGACCTCTGATTACAAAACTTATATCTCGTAGGGTTACACATTTATAAAAACTATTACAAATTAATATTGAACTGTTTCTGACGAAATTAATCGTTTCAAGAAAACAGTATCAAAAGAAAAAAAAAACAAATAGATTTTAAAAGGATTTAACAAAAGAACATAAACTTTGGTTTGAACCTTTTTACCTTTATAACTAGTTTTCGAAGAACGAGTGATTTATTAAAGATAACTGTTTTTAAAAAAAAAAAAAAATTTTACCAAAAAAAAAACTGTTTTTTTAATCAAAAATCGTAGTTAATAAAAATTGGACAAGCTTAAATGAATCTTTTTTTAAAATAGCTAATTATAGCTTAAATTCTTGAACCTGAAACAACCTACGATCTCTCCGATTCTCTTACAATAACTTCCTAATGTCTAACAAGACTACATTATAATAATAATGACATAAATTTGGGAAACTAAAAAAACTCGGGTTCAAGGGTTAAACTCGACCCGGATCCGCCGTTTTCATCAGTCGCAGCTCCAACACTTTCCTGTGGGAGTTGGAGTGAAACTCGGTGGAGAATGTCGGGCTGCAAGCGGGTCTATATTCGGGTAAAAGCCGACCCGACTTAAACCGGACCCCACAAGCATTACACAGAGTCTTCGCACCCAACGGACCTATCCTCCATTGTGGCGTTTTCTGGACCCCACAATGGCTGCAGCATCGCCTAGGCTGCTGCTGCTGAGCTCCGACGCCGGAAGAAGTCTCCGACTTCTGTCTCCCTCTCTCCTTCTTTCCGGCGAAGGATTGGGAGGAATACGGCGACTCCAGAGACCAGTTATGGCCATAAGTGCGGCGGCGTTTACTTCGTGGTTTAACGGGTACGCTCTGTTTTTTAACCTCCACCGACGCGGCTGGATTCACCGGAATGTCACTGGAAAAACAAGATTCTGGGAGAGAATCCTCCACGAAGTTGGATAACCACTCTAGGTCCTCTAAATCGCCAACCTTGACGAACAAAACAGAACAACAACAAAGAAAAAAGGAGAAACTGAAAACAGAGTAAAAAAAACAGAGTAAAAAAACAGGGGAAAGAGAAACAGAGTGCGCAAGTGGGCTCACTGGGACGTCAAGCTTGGAGCCGGGAAAAGATAAGAGATCTTCAAGCGGTGAAAGGCAGGTATTTTGTTCGGAAAATCTTTTAGCTTTCTCTCGTTTTTGTTCGTCTTCTTCTCTTTGTGACGAAGATGACTCTTCTCGTTCGAAAGCGTCGGCGTTAGAGAAGTCAAGGAGGTCGTCGACGGAGAAATCCCCGAGAAATGCTTCTACGCACTCCATTTTGGTTTTCAACTAAGCACTAACAAAACCCATGACTACAATTATTTTAAAGATAGGAGCAGCGAATCCATATTTCAAAAAAGTTTGTTCGTCTTCCAATATTTTTTTACAAAAATTTCCTCCTCCTTTTTTCAAAATTTAAAATTTATTACGTGTCCTGACTCGTGACTCGTGAGAGAGATGGTGGAGAGTGGACAGAACTGATTTTGTGAATTTTGAGCGACTTGTTTGGTAATGCTTCGTTACGAATCAACTAACCACGCATTGCCATGTCAGCATTTCCCATCTACAAAGAAGGAAATGAAACATACTGTATATACTTTTCCCAAAAAGTTATCTAAAATTATCTACAGATTATTAGGATTGTATAAAGAGTAATTTCAGAGTCCTTAATCCTAAATTTCAAGTTTGTGATCTCAAGAAGACAGGCCATGTTATTTCCTTCTAAAAGGAAAACACATATTTCTCAGTCGTATCGATGGTTTTTGGAGTAAAAATACAAAGACAAAAAAAAAAAGATTATTGATTGAAAATAATGATTGAAAAACATGGATTATAAAGTCAGGCTTCGGGTCCCCACTCGACCGTCGGTGGAAGGCCCGGTGTGAAGAATCTAAAAAAATGGGACCGAAACAAACAAGAACGTTATAATTTATTTTTTTTTTTTTTTTTGGTCGAACGAACGTTATAATTTCTATTTTTTTTTTGGTCAAGGATGTTACTCCATAATTTATTTATTTCTTTAAAAGATTGGAAATAATGGAAAGAGTCACCATCACATGATGAGCGCGTGAAAACATTGTTGTAATTGTAAAATCTTCATTTGGTAACTTTTCGTTTTTCGTCATTAATGTCACATTCGTAGCTCCTTAATCTCTTACCATCAGAGCTTTCAGCAAAAATGGACGTGCCTCCGACCAACCACACAAGGATATCTAGAAGGACTTTGTTTGCCGAATCGCAAAATAAATATTACGTTGATGATATATTGTTGACTTAGAGATGCACATACAACGATCATCTAAAAGACTAAAACAGCACGGCTCCACAAAAGCGAGACTTAGCTGATTATCAATTACAGCAACATTCGACCATAACACAACAGAACGGTTCAAAGTTCAGAAGGTGAGAGACATAATCGAGTAAAGCAAAAATAGAAGCCAAAACAAAACATTCTTTTTATTTTTTAGCTAAAAAAAAAGAAGAAAACAGAACAACCTTCATATCAATAACACCAAAACCAAACTATACATATAAACTACAATGCCGACCTATGATAGATTTCTCAAGATATTGTAACCCAATAGATTATAGGTATACAGACTAACGAATAGTTGAATTTGTAACATTTACCCATATGTATAGCTTGATTGTGAATACTAAATACACTTATCATTACTTATCAGAAAAAAGAAAACACTACTCCATTAGATAAATTTATATATAAGCAAATATTTCTTTACACAAAAAGCACCATAAACATAAGTGAGGACATAAAAAAATTGTACCAAAAAATTAACCTTTTTAATCGAAAGTATAAACACATACATTTTTTTTTTGTCGAATTCCGAAATAATATTAGAAATCATATCATGGCTACTAAGTAGCGTAAGCATGTAGATGCTTTTTGATTATAAATATAGTTTACGACATTTCAATCAGTTGGGTGTTTGGTCTAGTGGTATGATTCTCGCTTCGGGTGCGAGAGGTCCCGAGTTCGATTCTCGGAACACCCCGCGTACCCAAATTGTTTTATAATTTTGTCCTCTCCATTATTAATTGATACAATAAAAGGCGTATCCTATGGGTGGGTCACTAAGCTGGTAAAGTGACCATTTATATTTACCCAATGGGCTTAATGCAAGTCTGTCAAAATTGGAATGTTGGCATTTGGCAAAGAAGCACCGTAAAAATGGACAATATTGAAATCAAGATAAACTAAAAATTGTCATGTATGGTCTTCATTTTAATTTTATGAATTAGTCCTCTTTCTATCTCCGTAGCATTTTTTTCCACAATATTTTTCTCTTAAACTAGTATCTATGTCTATGACACGTAACTTATGCGTTTACGGATTTTTAATTTTTTTCCTTCTATATATTTGACGATCACGTTTATTAACACATGAACTTTTGTTAAACTAATTAATTTTCTGTCTTCAAACCAAAAAAAAAAAACAATTTTAACCTAAGCGCAATCAAACAAACAGTTATCACTTACCACGGTATTTTTTTTTTAAACATCTATATTATATTAAATATTGAGGAAGCTTATAATACAAGTTTTTCAGAAGTAATTTCCGTTTGATAAATAGTAAAACACATTAAATCAAATTTATATGTTTTTTCTTAGACAATGGATCGATTAACATAATAATCTAGTAAATATTAAGGAAGCTTATAATAAACCCCCATATATATATAAGAGTGTTTACTTTTCTTTAACAAAAGAAAAGAAAATAATGTTTGCTATGCTTTTTTCCTATTGTTGATTAACGTTATTAATTTCGTATTGTCTCTTTCAAACGAAACACAACGCTATATTTATTCCCAAATGATTCGTAAAATATAAAGGAATCCAATTGCTTCTACTTTAAGTGCTGGTGAACGTTTCCAATACCAAATTGTTTTATAGTAGTATGCGTTATAAACAGTTTAATTTCGGTCGTGAATCTTTTTTTATTTGACATAGTCCTGAACCTTATGATAGTAAGAACTTAAAAAACATTTTAAAAGCATTATATATATATATATATAAATTCTCTCCCTCCCGCAATATGTTTTCTAGATCGAATTAGTTATTATGACTATTTTGCTAACCATTACCTACGCAAGAATGATAACAGATCTACTATTGGCTTAAATACTATCCACTTGACAACCTGTAAAATAATTATAGTATGATTGACGGTTCAATACGCAAACCTATCGAAGTTCCCAACCACATTTACAATATAAATTGTATTCACCCCACATTATATCACATATGCTACTACTTTATTGAACACAGAGAAGCATATTTAAAAAGAATACTCCTATGAATTTGATAGCTGAACAAAAAAAGAAATATGAATTTGATAATTAGGGAGCGGCGAATCATTTAATGGCCAGTGCCACTAACCAGACGTTCCGGACTTTGTTAGGTGAGACAATAGAGACAAAACAATAAATGTCACCGATCCATATACTTCATATAATATAAAGTATATGTGGGAAATATCTAACATGTGAGAATTTGAAGAAACATATCAACTATTGGCATTGAATTCAACGATATGGACTTCCATCTTCATGATAACGATTTTTAAACCTAAAGATCGCAGCAACCTTATTTAATGTTTACCTTATCATTCCCCATCTAGTTTATTTCCACTTTTAACCACCACCTATAAGTGGTTGAAACTTGAAATTGAAACAAACATTGAAATGGAAACACACTAGTTCTAAACTAGGCAATCAAACAAACAAGCACAAGGCTTTTAAATAACCAAACTCTGCTTTTGCACAGAGTAGAGAGAGTTAGAGAGAGTTAGAAGCCATGGAAGGCATGGAGGAGATTGTGGAGCAGAGCTTGAGGGAGATGAGAGAGACGTTTGCGAGCGGGAGGACGAGGAGTGTGAAGTGGAGGAAGACACAGCTCGCAGCTATAATCGAGATGGTGAAAGACAACGAAGACAAGATGTGCGATGTTCTGTTTCAAGATTTGGGCAAACACAGTACTGAAGCTTTCAGAGACGAGCTTGGTTTTGTCATGAGATCAGCTACTACTGCTTTAAACTTTCTTGACAAATGGGTCGTTCCCAGAAAGGTAATACACTAAGCACATATTTAACAAATACAGTGTGATTGATTTCGGATTAGGAAACTCGACTATCGAGAAAATTTGCAAGATTAATCATTTTCCTATATTGTCTTGGTGCTGAAAAAAACAGAGCAACCTTCCTCTGTTGTTCTATCCAGCAAAAGGGCAAGTGATCTCAGAACCGTATGGAACGGTTCTTGTTCTGTCTAGCTGGAATTTTCCTATCTGTAAGATTTCAGATCTTGAATTAGTTCCATGTCTTTTTTTTTTAGTAGAGTTTAAGTTGTAGTTTTTGTTTGTGGTTAGCTTTGTCTCTGGACCCATTGATTGGGGCAATATCGGCAGGAAATACCGTGCTGCTCAAGGCATCTGAACTAAGCCCGAACGCATCTGCCTTCCTCGCCAAGACAATCCCGTCTTATCTCGACAATAAAGCCATCAAAGTTATCGAAGGAGGACCTGACGTCGCCACTATCCTCTTGAAACATCAATGGGACAAGATCTTCTTCACTGGTATCAGTTCATTCATCCTTCAACACGCCTTTGATTTGCATTTAGCGGAATTGGCGTCATCGTTGTTGTTTGTAGGGAGTCCAAGGATCGGAAAGATCATAATGGCCGCAGCTGCAGAGCACTTGACTCCTGTGACATTGGAGCTTGGTGGAAAATGTCCCACCATTATTGATCACCACTCTGTTTCAAAGGACATGAAGGTCTGTGCTTTGCTCTGTTTTTCTCTTAGCTCCAATTTGACTTTGAAACAGAGACTCGTGACGTGAAAGTGTCTGAATTTGAATTATTGGTGATAAACATATATAGTCGGTTGTGAAGAGAATCTCTGGAGGAAAATGGGGATCTTGCAGTGGACAAGCTTGTATCTCCGTAGATTACGTCCTTATTGAACAGAGTTTTGCGTCTTCTCTGGTATGTGCACACACAAACGCAAACGCAAACGCTATTTATGAAGTATCTCTAAGAGTTTTTTGTTTCTATAGATTGATATGTTGAAGCCGACAGTAAAGTCTTTCTTTGGGGAAAACCCGAAAGAATCTGGATGTCTCTCTAGGATTGTCAGCAAGAAACACTTTCAGAGATTGTCTCGTCTTCTTAATGATCCTCGTGTTCAAGCTTCCATCGTCTATGGCGGTTCGATGGATGAAGAGAAGCTGTATGCTTTGATTTAATCATGTTTCCTGGATTACACGAAATCAGTTCTACGAGTAATTTAACCTAAATTTGTCTGCCAGGTATGTTGAGCCAACCATCTTGTTGGATCCTCCTCTTGATTCTGAGATAATGAATGAAGAAATCTTTGGTCCAATCCTCCCGATTATCACAGTAAGCACATTTAAAGTATACAGTTATACAGATTACGTAGTAGACAATCGACTAATCGTTGCTGATTTTTTTTGTCTATTTCCTTCGATGTAATGAAGTTACGTGACATCCAAGAAAGCATAGGGTTCATCAAGTCAAAACCAAAGCCACTTGCCATCTATGCATTCACCAAAGACGAGAACCTTAAAACTAGAATCTTGTCAGAAACATCCTCCGGAAGTGTTACCTTCAACGACGTCATGATCCAGGTATATAAAAAACCAAAACTGACAAAACTTTCGGTGGTCAAATTGTTTCATTCCGATTTCAATCATGGTTGGTCAGACGCTTTTAAATGACAAAAATACCCAATTATCTCACAGACCCATAAGATTACTCATGACGAAATAATCTTTTGCATTTTTATTTTAAAAAAGTCTCGATTTTTGAGTATGTAAACTTGAAGTATTGACTCTAATATAGAATTTTCTCATAACTTCAAGTGTTGAATGGAATTGCAGTACATGTGTGATGCGTTGCCTTTTGGAGGAGTGGGAGAGAGTGGAATAGGAAGGTATCACGGGAAATACTCATTCGAATGTTTCAGTCACGAGAAAGCAATAATGGAAGGAAGCTTAGCAATGGATCTTGAAGCTCGATACCCTCCATGGAACAACTTCAAGCTCACGTTCATTAGACTCGCATTTCGTGAAGCTTACTTCAAGCTTGTCCTCCTTATGCTTGGTCTGATTAAAAAATAAAGTGAGAGAGAGACGCGCACACACACACACACAGAATATGTGATTGATACATATCACTCTTGATTTTGATTTTCATAGCCTACTTCAAGCTTGTCCTCCTTATGTTTGATTTTCATAACCTTGCCTATTATATAAGTTTGATTCCAAATTTCATTCAAGCTTGAGATATTCCATAGAAGTTTTTTTTTTTTTTTTTTTTTTGCATCTATTCCTACCGAGGTACATTCTTAGTAACCACGGCATACTTTTAATGAAAATTAATATTAAGATTAATTAAAATAAATAGTACAAGATAAGTTTGAAAAATAATTATAAATAAGATTAATTAGTTAGAAAGTTCAATTTGAAATTCCAAAAAAAAAAGCATTGGCGAATTAGATAGTACGTGATATGATACTTACTTACCTAGATGAACTATTGGAGTATAAAATGAACCATTAGAGTATAAAATGACTAAATTATGTGATACCTTTTTTTTTTTTTTTTTTTTTTGGTCGAACATTATGTGATACCTTATTATCTATAATATTCATCTAGCAATATTGTTCTTAATTTTATATGGACCACTCAACAATAAAACGTATACACCCACACACATACACTGTATACAGTAAAATACGTACATGGGGTACGTATATATATCAATATATGTAGGTAAAGGTGTGTATGCTTGTCTTGTCCAAAGAAAAAAAGAAAAGCTGATGAAAAGTATGGGCTCACACACCACAATAATAGGTTACTGCATCACTGAGCCAGTTTCTTTCATCCCCACCCTAAGTAAAGCTCTACTAAAAACCCTAGCTAGCTTCTCTCTCTTTTTATAATTTTTTTTGTTGGTACATCGTCCTTACTTGCCCCTCTTTATATCCAATCTCTGCAACGTTCCTCATTATTATTAATTTCATCTTTATTTCTCTCTCTCTCTCTCTCTCTCTCTCTCTCTTTGTCTGTCTCTGGTTATGTCTTATGTATCCTCTTGAACTCAAATCCAACCAGAAACCATATCTCTTTTAGTTGTGTCCTTCACTCTTGGCAAGTTCAAAATCAAGGAGGATGGGTGACTTGCGATTCAAGGCACTTTCAAAGGTCGAAATGACGTGAACTTCAGGTGATTTAATCGTTTCTTGTTTCCCTCTCTTGATTTATTTGGTCACCAAAGTGAACCATGGACATGTATACTTAGTTGTATACCTGTCTAATTAGGATTAAGTAAGCTATATATACATTATTATGGTTTCCTCACTTTGGGTGAACATGTGCGCAATTAAATTAGCTAGATAGACTATGGTTTCTGGTTGAACAAGTTGTATGGAAGACTCTTTTATAGCTTATTTTCTATCACTAAACGAGCTCATTGGTTATGATTTCATGATATTGATGCACTTCTTATGGCTGATGTTCTTTAAAAGAAGACAGTTGAATACAACAAGAATTAACTATTTTCGGTATAGTAAAGATAGATCTTTTGTATTGTACAAAAGATTATTGGCGTTGGAAACACGTCATAAAAAAAAATTATTGGTGTGATTCGCCATATTATTTAGTGTTTGGTATAACTACTAGTCTATTTAACTCTACGAAAGGTATATTGTACGTATTAGGAGATTTTTTTTTTTCACTAAATCGTACGAATAATAATCAAGTAATACATAAAGGTAATTAAGCTCTAAAACTAATTGGTTTTATCTACCATTGCTATAAGCCTCAAACCATAGGCATGCTATGCAAGAACAATAATTAGTCCACGAGTTACTTCATATAACTTTTTTTTTCCTCAAAGAGTTACTTCACATAACTATAAATATACTTTTTTTATTAACTAACATATAAATAAAAAAAAAATATATATATATATATATAATCTTCTCTTACAAATAAAATAAAATTCATACACCAGTTCATCGTGAAGAAGAACTCTATGAGTGTAGAATTGACAATATAGGACCGGTAATTAATCGTAACTTATATTTTGAAAAACTTTGCCCTCATTTGCTTTATGTCGTTGTCACGATTTAATTCACTTTGAGTAATTTACCTTCAAATCTAGATAGATTAATGTCACAGTAACAATATAAAGTAGTTAATGCTATACGAAGAAGATATGGTTCTGAGTATCTTAATTAATCACGTAGACTTCACTAGACCTGATGAAAAATATTATAATTTATCCAATATAATAACATAAGAATTTCTCGAGTTTATCCAATGGGAGAAGCAACCGGCAACATCGGCATAAACATGGAAAAAAAAACGTATCGAGAACCAAAAAAACTTGCATGTTTATATAAACCACAAATAATCAATATTTATAGTAAAGAACCGTACAACGTAAATATAAAATTAAACACACATACACATTATACAAAATAACAAACAGACATGCAGATGTGATCCGATTCGCAATATCGTCTATGTATTACATATGATTGTTGAAAAAAAACACAAAACAGTACATTACATACATAGAAACAATATCATCAATATCTATAAAAATTAGTAACTCGAGTTTTCTTGATTTAATCAAGATCTTGGTGGGTTTTGATAGAATTGCGTACCTGGTGGCACGAACATAGTCGTCATGTTACTTGAATAGTAACCACCAGAATTAGGATCTACAAACATCGCTGACGAACCTCCTCCTCCTCCTCCACCGTCGGCCATTGCCTTAAACGGATTTCCGCCTCCTGCAGAGGAGCTTTGATGATCGCTTCCACCACTATTACCACTTATGTAGCTGCTTTCGGGGCCTTGGTCATATAAAATTCCTTTGAAGAGATGACCTCCGATGTTCACCGTCGTTTGATAAGCGTATTGACCATCTCCTCCGTCGTCTACGCCGCTCATTTTTACACACCGGAAAAGCGCATCCGAGCTCACTTCCGGCGGAAAACTTGCCTCCTCCATTTCTAACCCTAAAATATACACATTATATTTTTTTAAAAAAGAGATACACACATTAAGTTTCAAATACTACACACAAAAACAACCGACATAAACAACAGTTGTTGTGTCGATTATATTGTTTTTCCTTAGTCGCGCTTGTATTTTCAAGTTAATTATATGTGATTACTTTCAAAACAGAACACAACATTTTAATTTTTTTTTATCAAACATCTTTTGAAATTGTAAACATACGGAACTTACAAATTCAAAATGATGTTTGATAAAGAAAAACATAAAATTAGAATGTTGTATTTTTTAAATATTGAAAACAAAAGTTGAAGTAGTAAAATGGATGAGACTTATGATTTGAATCTGAAGTCTTCTGAATCTTAAGCTGTATAATTAAAACAAATCTAAGAATAAAAACCTGTTGAGTCGGAAGGCAAGCGAGAGGAGGATGTTCCTGGAATATCCCTATGACGTTTAGGGACACTCGAGCCACTTCCATCGCCGCCGCCATATGTGGACATATGAAGCTGCTGCTGTCTCTCACGGCGTCTAGCAACGGGGATCCACGTGCTCCTCACGTGAGTGGAACAATCGAAGCCCCGGCTCTTGCAGCAAGTCCTGCAACGCATGTGAGTGCAGTCTTTCTTGGCTTGGTTCCCACAGTCCCGACAGCTTATGGTGATGGATCTTGATGAGGTGGCTAAATCAGAGATGTCGATCTGATGACCTGGATAAAGATCTAAGCTTTGTTGTTGTGGATGATGATGCATGAGCATCTGCTGCTCTGGTGGAATCTGCCATAGGCTCGAGCTTGGGTTTGTGTTTCTATACCAAACCCAATTTGTCTTTTGCTGTTGTTGATTTTCTTCTTCTTCTTCCTCTCCGTTGTTGTTGTTGTTTCCTCCTAATGAGAATATCCCAGACATTTTCTAAGACCTAACACTTTAAACCCTAATCTTGACCCAATACTATCCATAATTCAAAAACCCTAATTACCATGAAATCCTAAGCCTTTTTTTCTCCTTTTTATATATTCTCACTAAAATTCAGCTTTTTTCTCACTCGTGGGTCTTCTTGCTCTTCGAATCTAGATTCGAATGCTTTCCAAGATCTCTCTCTTTCTCTCTCTCTCGCTCTCTCTCCTTCTTGGAAGAAAGTGGGGTTCTTGGTAGTGAGTAGTTGAAGTGAGAGAAAGTAAAGAAGAAGAAACAAAAGAGGAGAAAAGAAGAATTTAAGCTGTCTGTTTATGATTTCTGCAACGCCGCCATGGCGTTTTTTAGCTTTCTCTTTCCTCTGCTCTGCTCATCCCTAGAATTTAAGTCTCTCTCTCTAACACTCTAATTTGGGTTTTTGCAGATTCTATGAAAACCAAAGTGAAAGGCTTTTCTTTCCCCTTCTCACTTCGGTTTTGTCTGAACAAAACGCTTCTAGTTCTGTCCGTATAATGAAAGTAAAACGATTAAAAAAAGACTCTCTTTCTCTCTCTCTCTCTCCTATCTCTTCTTTCTCTCTCTCTCGATCCCTCTATCGACTCAGAGTCTCACACCCACGGGGGATGATCCACCGGTTCTAGCTCTCTTGTTCTCATCCCATGGACAAGACTTTCCCACGTGGCGGATTTCTTCTTAAAACGGAACAATTTCATTATTTTTCTTGAAGTTTTTTTTTTTGGTTTTTATATATTTTCCTTGAAGTTAACACATACATAAATTTTCCGTAGTTATAGTATAGGAAAAAATTTAGCACATGTGTCCGACTGTCCGTACGTATTAGTTGATCGTATTAATCTATTATATTAAAACAGAAGCATATTTAGTATTTGGTTCCAAACAATCTTAATTTTTCTTTCAAGTGTTTAAAAATAATTTTAATAATTATTTATATTTAATTTCGAAAATTAGTTATTAATTCAAATATTTTTAGAGTTCCTTAAATATAGGTAATTTAGATTTGATTTGATTTGATTAAAAATAATAAATCAGATATTAATTTAGATTTGATTTAAAGTGTCTAATTTAAATAATTTTTATACTATTAAACATTTTATCAAAAATATCTAGAATTTTTGAAAAAAAATTCACATATGAAAAATAATGGTCATATTTGAATTATAAAATATTTATAATGATGTAAATGATATGATATTTATGTTGTTTATATAATATATTTACGATTATGATTTATTTACAAATTAATAATAAAACAATAGGTAAAATTCAAATGTATAATTTAAATATTAAAAACATATTTTTTAAAATTCATAGAACTAAAAATATATATAAAAAACCGGGTTAAAAATATTTTGGTAACTAATATCACTAATTTTGAATTATACATATATATCGAAAATATATTTTTCATACAAAATCAAAACATAAAAAATTAAAAATTATTGCATACACTATAATGTGGTTTGAAAAACCAGTTGTACACTCCTTCGTTGATTAAATTTTAGAAAACTATAATATTAAATAATACTGTTAATACATCTCAAACTTTTAACAAATATTTATATTATACAGTAATATGAACGGAAAAATTAGATTTATGTTGTTATAATAGTTTATTTTGAATTAATATTAGCGGACGGGTTAAAATTATATTTTTATAATCATAATTAATTTTATTACTATAAAAATATATCTAAACACAAAAATCAATATTTTTGCTTATTAAAAAATATATTTATAAAAATAATTATATCTAAACTCAAAAACACAAATTATATTAAAAAATTCATTAAATAATAAAAAATATTCTCGTGCGGATGCACAGGGTTAGAATCTAGTTATGGTTAATTTGAAATCCCACGAGATTATGAAATCTTTACCACATAGCTATACGTTTTTGCTTTCTAATCTTAAAGAATTATAATTACTCACCTAGATGCCTTAGGGCTCTCTTCGATCGACTTTAAGTCTTTAACATTGCTTTGATAACGATATTTCCATAGTTTTAAACAAAATTCTATTTTTACATTTCTCATAATAGTTCGTTCATAATTCAACGGCCAACTGTCTTTAAAATTTCCCGTCAAATTATCTATCTAAAATTTTCACAATAAATGGCAATATGGCATTCATCTATTCGACTAAATCTATTGTTATTACCCTTCAATATTTATTATTAAAAAACATGTTGATTCGTCATGAAAGTGTTTTTTATTTATTTTTCTGATTGAGGACTTCTAACAAGAGTTCATGAATATACATCTTGAAGAGTCGGTATCTTTGTTATATATTTTAGGTATTCACAATGGTTAACCATGACAATAGAATATTATTTTAACAATAATTATAATAATAATTAAATTAGTTACGATTATGAAAAATAATAGATATTCCAAATTTTTTCCTCTGACTTGAAAATTAATGATTTGATGAATTGATTAATAAGAATAGATTAATAGTCTTGACTCATGAGTGTATAAATTCATTCACCAAGGAATAGATTATGGAAACAGAGAGATTCGGGGCAGTGAAAAAGAGGCTCTCTTTTTATTGATTGTAACAAATGATCATATTAATATTCGTTACTGAAGCATCAAACAAAGGTATTCTTTATTGAGTGATTTGAATAATTAAATAAAAATTATACCAAAAAAGTGGGAAAAGATTAAAAAAAAATTAAAATATAAAAGCATGTTACTCTTTGGACTCTCTGCGGCTATACAGGGGAACACTGCGCCACCTACGTATACTTTTTTGTATTCCATTCTTTTTACTGTGAATTATATACATTTTCTATTTAAATACGAAGCAATAATGTAAGAAAATCGACGAATAAGAAATATTTGGATTTCTTCGTGCCAAAAAATATATATTTGATTTCCATTCTCAACAATAACTGTAGGATCACAAATTCTGAGTTATGTGGTTTTGATTGATTTATCGTACGTAGCATGGTGAAATTGCTCTAATTTTTTTATATCGCATGCTTATATACTAGCTAAACCATTATGCAAAATTATTAGTTCAATTCAGCATTAAATTTAACTTTGAAGATATAGTTTATTTTTTGCATTCTATAACTATTTTCAATATCAAAGTTTGCATTGGTAATATTACAAAATGACATTAATATATGTGAATGTTCGAACCGTGTACGCAGGTTTTTTGAATTTTGGATATTGAAAAACTTGGGATAGTTTGGCACTTGTAGTTCGGGATTAATTTTACTTTCAACTATGCCTCCTTGTCTTTTTTTGATAAAAACTTTGCCTCCTTGTCTTTAACGTTATTTTTTAATACTCCTTGCTATGTGTTATAAACTTATAACTTATATATTAAAATTTGACAATATTAGACAAATGCAGGAAGTTTGTTTGTAGAGATGACTAATATATATAGTAATATTATTATTATTTTAATGAAAGCTAAACCGTAGCTTCTTTTCCGTTGTCCGTTGATGATAAATTGCAACGGAATCTGCCCCTATAAAACCAGTGTTGTCACATTCGAATCTATCGAACCAGTAACAATAGCTATATCGTTTTTTTCCTCTTGTATTTGGATAAGTGATAGAAGACTGACTCGTCCGGTTGACCACATGATCGGGCCAAATTGACCTCTATAAAAATCAAAATTAAATAAATTCGGCTTAGTTATGAATGATCGGACCGATCCAGGTTAGTATAGTCCGAAGGTTTCGTAAACAAAAAGCTATTTAAAATTATGAAATTATTAAGAAATTTCTTTTAAAGAAGGGATGAAGAAAAATAAAAGAAAGAAAGAGGAGGGAATGATAAGTGGGAGAGGCCCGAGAAGAAGACGTTAGTACTGTCTCTTAATTCTGTCGAGAGGTCTTTCGAGCTCAGTGTTTGCCTTCTCCTCTGCGTTGACTTCTCTCATTTTGTTTTTCATATGTAATTTTTATTTAGTAGTTATTTTGTTTTTAAGTTTTGTGAATAAATAACAAACATTGTCGCCTATGGGGGGAGTGAATCGATGTAAGACAAATGAAAGTTTCTTAACAAACAAATGAGTCTTACAATTATGATTTATCTTCTACTTCTTCGTTTTCACTAATTCTAAATATGGTAAACTCGGCATTGCGAAAAAAATATGAAAAAATTTAAACGATAGTTGTTTTATCAAACTGCGAAACTAGAAAACAAATTAAAAAAAAATACGAAATTATAACTATAAAGTCAACAACTTTAATGCACTAAGCGAAATACAACTTATGTGAATAATGGAAAACTAAAGAATGCTGAGAACAAAAAAAAAGGAGACGAAGAAAAGAAAACGTGCAAGTGTATTCTCTAGAAGGTTTGAATTACGGGATGTCATGCTTCATGAAAGGAGTACATTTGAGCAAATGGGAACAACAAGAACGAGACAATAATGGGAAACAAAAAAAAATTATTATAATGTAATGGCTGTCATTTTCTCGGCCTTTAAATGTGGCTTTTTGTTGATAATAACATGGCATATTTGTGTCTTTTAGAGAAAAGTCTAATCTATAATTGGAGATCTACATCAACCATATAATTACCATGTACTGATATACAAGTTAAAAAGGAATAGCAGTTATGCACCAAACCTAAAAGTATATATCCCCTTCACCATTACCATTTTAAAAACTAATACATCTTCTTTTATGTTTTTGATTTGGTAATTCCTCAATCCATCATTACCATTTGAGGTCAAATGGACTCGTAAGTATTTACATATACATTTTACATACTCAAATATTTTCTTTTTAACTAGTTCTCGTGGGAATTATAAATGATAATTTCTTTTCATTCGCGTTTCACATTTACGTATAAATTCTTATTCCTTTTTGTAAAAATACTAATATACTATATTGTTTTAAATTAAACTAGCCATAGTATTTTAATATCTAAACAAAGGTAAATACAAACCGAAAGTACAATGAAAGCCTCTATTATACTTTTAAGATCGGCATGGATATTAAAGTTAAAATTAAAGAGCTATGGATCTTGGCTTACTTAATAACCTAATAGGGCAATGGATGTTGAATTTTGACTATGGTCCATGCCTTGTTAGTGATTGGTCGGTCGGTCCATAATTTATTGTAATGATGTCAATTGTGTGTTTTTCACTTCACACACTCATTATCCATTTTATCCAGTTGGATGCAAATTAATTTCCCTAAGAAACTAAAAAAATTGTCTAGAGAAGATTCCACTGCACCTTTACCTCCATTGTTCTTCAGTTAATGAAATTTCTTTTTTTTGTCTAATGAAATTTTTAATCAGAATAAGAAATATACATAATGATAACACTTGGGTTTCTGTAAATGTCCCCACTCTACTAAATTAAAATAAACTCTACTTTTTTGTAACAAGCAGGTCCACTTCTTCTTAGTCCTTATCAAGTCTAGTTCTAACTTTGATAGAGAATTGGTTCATACAATCTTAACTTATGATTCTTTAAATAGAACTATTTTCCAGAGGCTTGCGTTAGATCCTAACTGTTGTACAGACAGATACGTACCCTACTTATATATGTGCATATGGTATCAAGCAAATGCAACAATACCATAATTATACATCTGAATCAAATTAGGGCTCTTAGATTCCAGTCGTAACGTATTAACTAAACTTGCTGCATCTCCTTCCTCTTAGCATCCACAAGCAGAGCAAGTTGTGCACATTTACTTTTAGCTTCTTCCAGTTCTTTTTCTAAGTTCCTTACCTGTTTCATTAATCATGATCCATTTATATCTATTTTAGAACCGATGTAACAAATACATATGTTTAGACTGCTGAATCAATCTTACCGTCTGTTCCATTTCATCCTCTTTCTTTTTATATTCCTCGCACCTGTTGAAGAAGGAACACAGCAATAATTGATTGAGAATCTGAGAGATATATGAAACTGAAATGAGTTTTTTTTTTTTCCAATGTAAGAGTACATATATACATACTTCCTGAATAGTTGTATATTCTCTTCGCTAAGCTTTTCCGCTGACTTGCTACCGAGGTTGTTTCCAGTATCCTTTGAAAGATTTGTTCACTCAAGATTATTTTTAAAATCGAACTTGTAAATAAAATTGAATCATCAAATGAAATTCACTTACGGTAGGTGCAGGTTGAGGGTTGAGCTGCACGGGTTGGAAGTTACTTATTAAACCCGTGGAATTTCTCATATGTGGCGGTGGCATGGTAACGGTACGGATGGAAGTGCCATGACTTAGACTGATTTCACGTATTATTGGACCACCTTTACTGTTATTATCAGCAGGCAGAGGCAACGAGTCGACGGTAGGAGCTTGATCAGGTATTGCTATCCTTTTCGACTTATCTAAATGACTTTGGAATCCGAAAACGTGGCAGTGGCTATACCTGTTTCTCTCCATAACAAGCAGTGGAATAGTCAAACAAAGATAATGCGGTTTGAAACCAAAATATAATTAGAAAAAGTTTTTGGAGAGGAAGAAGAGACCAGTAATCAGCAATAATCTTTTTCAACCTTGCCTCCAGTCGCTGGTATAGAGTAGACCTCTCAAAATCTTGCTTATCGTGAGCCGGTTCTATGAAGTTTGCTTCAAGAACTCCTGCGGAGAAGGATTTGGTTAATGAGTCTCTCCACGAGGTCTTTTCCCTCAAAACGAAAAATATTCTATGGAATCACCAAGGAAATGATATTTATACCGACAACACCATTGCCCTTCGCTGACCCGCTCAGAGTGACCTTCCAGAAAGGCTGTAATGGTGCAAGAGAGATCCTCATTCAATCAGACCATATACAAAGGCGGAAGCTTAAGTGACAATATACTAACAAACTTGCTACAATGGCTTCTAACGATTTAAGATCATCTCGAAAATGGAACTAAGGGGTACATCAAAACGTGCCTGGATGAGACGGTTTTTGTGATAGACATTGAAACCGCTCATTGGAAATCTAGGCGCCTCCTTGATGAATCCAACTTTAATTTCAGTCGCAGCCTGTAATAAGAAAGCTTAGTGATTTCTGCTCCCACGGTCTAAACATTAAGATGTAGATTATTTTTTTTTTTTTTTGCATCAAAAACACAGCCGAAGCTCCATGGAATAAATAATAAGAGGAAGAGGAAGTCTTAGTTTGTATTACATATTCCATTGCGGCTGCTTGGGGTTTGTACATTATAGTCTCAGGGTGTCTGAGTTCATCAGCAATGTTGTATTGCTCCACAGGGATTCCCCGAAGAATAATTTTGAAGTTGTTGAACTTTTTGAGATATAACATGGACGTGTAAGCCTAAAGGTTAAAGAAACTAACAAAGTTAGCCTTTAAACACCCTTGCAACACTAGGAAGAGGATATTTAGAAGAATTACCCTTAAAGAATGTCGCAAACGGTAAGATATATGAGCTCTTAGTTCTAATGTTTTCGTGTGTACCCGTTTCCCGTCCAGAGCATTTTCATCTCGGAGCCGTATATCCTATTATATAAAAATTAAATACTTAAAAACCCAACCTCTGCAAAAGACTTGTCCCTTTAAGGAAATGTAAGTACCTCATCATCGTCGTCAAAACTCAGCTCATAGATTCCTTCATCATTCAGCCACAAGTTGTATATAATTACTTTTGTTCCATGCGTTCCAATATCCTCGAACTGGTGGGTGTAAAATGGAACTAAATTAATTAATAGTTAGGCCACAATAACATTACACGCGGAACCAGAGCCTATAGAAGGAAACAACCTGCTGCAAAAGTTCGTCCTTTGTTGAAAACGGTGACCATTTGAGAAGAATGTTAAGGTTGGCAGACCAATCTTCGGGAGTTCCATAGATAATTGGTTGGGGTTGATCATTGGATATATCAATATCAATCTGCATTGCAAATATGATAACATCACTTTGAGATCATACATCATTCTTCAACTTCCAAACATTGTAGTGAAATATCTATTTTAGACATTAAAACAAAAAGCTACATAAGCTGAAGATTTTACCATTGGAACAACCACGTCGTCCTGGCCAGTTCTCCTAAGGAACGTGTAAGACAGAAGGCCAATGCTCTGAGTAGATTTGCTAAAACAGAGAAGATGAAAATACAGTTAAAGTTACAAACAGAGCACTTGTCAACTTCAGTGTGTATATGTAAATCAGACATTACAATACCCTCCACGAGTTGAGCGACTGAAAACGATGGCATCAGCTCCAAGTCTCATGGTACTTGTCTTGAAACCATTTCCATCTGTACACAAAGGTGGAATTTTGGTTAGAGAACCACCAACCTAAGTCCTTCAAACAAATTATGAAACTTACACTGTCCAATCGTTGTATTAGACTTCTTTGATGAGTAGCCTAAGCTCATGCATTTTCTGATCCCATCGGGATCCATCCCGGCGCCATCATCTTCAAGCGCAAAAGAAAGAGAGATCACGACGTCATTAACAACATCCAAAGCCACGGTTAAGCAACTAGTATCACACATTGATTCAATTACCTTGGAAAACTAAAGCTGGTGAGTTATCTTTGACAATATCGATCTTATCGATCTTGACAAAAGTGGCACCGTTTTGTATCTGAGGAAGAATCAATAAACAAAACCAATGCTATAAGAGACAATTTCACTCACATCAAGCAAAAGAGAAGCAATTCCCTCACGCATGCATACCTCGTCAACAGCATTATCAAGTAGCTCTGCGATTGCTGCAGCACAACAAGCAGAAAAATAACAACTATCATCATAAAATATCATAGCAAAAAAAAAAAAAAAAATTCATCGCAAAATTTTCATAACAAACGTCATATCCAAAACTAAAAATTATCATCACAAAATTTTCATTATACACCAATCAGGATTGTAATTGATCGATCATCTTGCTTTTCCAAAGATCAAACCATCCAGAAAGCAAACAAAGCAAACCAGTTTTCTTAATTCTCTATTACTTAGCTTACCTCCAAAAGCCCATTTGTGTGAAGTGGCATTCGAGTGAAGAAACTTGGGATGAATTCGAGCATGCTCAACCATACCTGTCAAATTTCATCTCATCAAATACCACAAAACTATAATTATCTGTGTGTGTGAGAGACAGAGAGATGACCTGGAGGAGTGGGATTAAAAACTTTCGGAATCACAAAGTTGTCTCCGGCCTTCCAGAAGCTCCGGCATTCTAGGGTTTCCCGGGGAGCCATCGTCGAATCGGCGTTCGTACTTGGAAGTTGCGGATTTCCCATTATAGATGCCAAGCTCCGAAACTCTCCTCCTTCCCCTACTCCGACGTCGTCGTCACTGTCACTGTCAAGATGTATGACATCAGCGTCTGTAATTTTCGCCTTAGGAGGCATTGCCGACGGGAAATTCGAGATGGGTTGAACGGAACTGGCATTCGGGTTGCCCGACCCGCTTATAGAGGAAAACGGAACAACGTGTTGTTTTATTTTAAAAATTAAAAAAACAGCAAGGCGTGTTTTCCGATATCGTTTCTTTGCTTGTAAAATGCACTAGTTTTAATTATGGATTTTTTTTAATATGCTATTTGCATTACTAATTTTCGCATTGAAATGACAGAATTTGAGGTAGACTTTTATTAGGTAATTTTTTTGGTATATTTTGATCGATATAGATTTTGAATTTCTAAATCAGAATATACTTAGACGATATGAAATGCATTCTCAGGTCAAACTGAATATAATAATAAAACACTCAAATATTCTACTTCATAATCCCAAATCTAACAACACCATAAGCTTAGACACTAATGTTGCCTGAAACTTCCTCCATTGGGAAAAAATGTCTGTTATACAACATGATGGAATCGGCTGCAACAGGTTCATTATCTTGATTCCTATGCCATGTATAAAGGGCATGAGTTCTGTTCTTAATCTTCAAAAGTGCATGACCGAAACTCGCTTCCCTATATGCTGAGTAGCTTGGTTGTGGATCAGTAAAACTGTAGATAAAAAAAAAAACCATAACATAAGATCTTAGTTTTATATCACTAAAACTACAACAGAAATTATAAAATGATTTTATTACCTATTAGCGATTCCTTCGATGTTTCCTCCATCACCGATCGTGATGTAAATTGGAGCATTGGGATCTTTGGCAGGAGTGCTCAAACCGTTGGTAATATTATACTTAACATTGGAGATACGTTCGGATCTTTCATAAGCATGGACATGACCAGACAAAACCAAATCAACCTTGCTGTTAACAAGCCACGACTCAAACATTACCCTCATGCTCTCTCCTTCCATGTAATGGTAGTTGTTACTGTTATACCATGGCGAGTGAACAATAACAATCAACCATGGAGTCTCCTCTCTGTTCACTTTCTTCAGCTCCTGCTCGAGCCACATGTATTGCGGCGTGTATTTGTCTGGATAGGAGATAACGTGTTATGCAAGAAACAAAATCAAGAGAGGGTAAAAATCTTTCTAAGGCTTTGTGATATTCTGTTACCGTAGGCAGAGTAAGAGGAGAGAACGATGATATGAGCCGGACCGCGTCTAACTGAGTACCAAAGAGGAGATGTGCTCCCTGAGGCTTTGTAGGCGTTAGGGTAACGGTGCTCGTACGGCTTGAAGGCGTGAGGCTCACCCTGATTATAGATTCAAATTGTAGTATAAAAAAAAAAGTAAACTAAAATTACAAAACAAAAAAAAAAAAAAGTAAACCAAATTACGAATATTGATTAGAGAGTTAGTATTACGATGTTGGGAACGAAATCAATCTCGTGATTCCCGGCGGCAAAGATAAAAGGCTGGTAAGCAGCGCAAGGCTCCATGAATCTTCCCCAAGAATCCCACTTTCTCTGGTCATGGTTTGGATGGTCATCAGCGTAAGACAAGTCTCCGGCAAAGAGAACGGCTTGACCTTTAGGGTTCGACATGTAGTGGTACAACGTCTCGTTAGATGCATAGGTTTGTCCAAGATCACCTACAAAAACAATGAGGTCGTTAGATATCGATTGGGAAAAACTAATTTCAGATCTAGTTTTAGGAAGATCCGTGAATTACCAATAATCCCGAATGTGTATGGAACATCTGGTCCAACCTTCGGGGGAGTTGTGAAGTGGAATTGTCTAACAGATCGATCGGTACCAACCTCATAGATGTACTTAGTGTCATACTGCCATATAAAACAAGAACTAATACATTAAGACGAAACCTTTTAAAAAATAAGTTAATATTGTTACTAATTGGAATGACAAGTTACGTGATACAAAGTTTTACAAACCTCAAGTCCTTTAATTGTGGCGTGATGAAGAAATCCAGAAGTATAGTCATAGAATCTGTAAGACTTCGTGGAGGCTTGAGCTTTCTTCTTTGCAGGTATCACGTCGCTGTCGTTGCCGGCGATCCAGTAAGTAACGACGTTGGCACCATCTAGATTTATCGGTGTAACCCACGAGATGATCACGCCACGTCCGTTGTGATCTCCCTGCGTTATATGAACCTGAAACAGTTGAAAAAAAAAAACTCAATACAATTGATATTGATGGTTCGATCAAAGAAAACAAAAAAATCAAACCTGTTCAGGAGCATTGTAACCAGCCGGAGGAGGGAATGTTTCAAGAGGCATCTCAATCGACGGTTCAGCTTGTCGAACATATTCGCTTGTAATTCCAGCATTGATTATGTTGGTAATGCTGAGGAACACAACCGAAAAGATGAAAAGATTGATTATCTTCATTGTTTGTTTTTTTAAGAGTTTTTGAGTTTTGTTTGTTAGTCACTTTGTTAGTCTATATATTTATAGACTACGTCGAATCTCAAGAGTGTTTAAGAATATGCCACAAAATTGGTTTAGAAAATTACTGGGAATAAAATCTATATTTAAAATAACAATAGATATTATAAGATTTAGTTAGATGGAGATTTTCAGCAATCTAGGATTATCAAAACTGATTTTTCATATTTTAAACAATAGAAAAAAAGGTTTAGATAATGAAACTAATTTACTATGATGATTGGTAACTTAAAAGCGTTTATAATTTACGAGTTAAAAAGGTTTATTATGCATCAAAATAAAAGAATTATTATGGTAGATAAAAGAAAAGAGAAAATATATATTATATTAAAACAGAAGCACATTTAGTACTTGCTTTCAAACACTCCTAAGGTGTTTAAAAATAATTTTAATAATTATTTATATTTAATTTCGAAAATTAGTTATTAATTTAAATATTTTTAGAGTTCCTTAAATATAGGTAATTTAAATTTGATTTGATTTGATTAAAAATAATAAATCAGATATTAATTTAGATTTAATTTAAAGATTCTAATTTAAATAATTTCTATACTATTAAACATTTTTATCAAAAATATGTAGAATTTTTGAAAAAAAATAATTCATATGAAAAATAATGGTCATATTTGAATTATAAAATATTTATAATGATGTAAATGATATGATATTTATGTTGCTTATATAATATATTTACGATTATGATTTATTTACAAATTAATAATAAATAATAGATAAAATTCAAATGTATAGTTTAAATATTAAAACTATATTTTTTAAAATTTATAGAACTAAAAATATATATAAAACCGGATTAAAAATATTTTGGTAACTAAAATCACTAATTTTGAATTATACATGTATATAGAAAATATATTTTTCATACAAAATAAAAACATAAAAAATTAAAAATTATTGCATACACTAAAATGTGGTTTGAAAAACCAGTTATACACTCCCTTCGTTGATTAAATTTTAGAAAACTATAATGTTAAATAATACTGTTAATACATCTCAAATTTTTAACAAATATTTATATTATACGGTAATATGAACAGAAAAAAGTTAGAATTATGTTTTTATAATAGTTCATTTTGAATTAATATTAGCAGACGGGTTAAAATTATATTTTTATAATCATAATTAATTTTAATACTATAAAAATATATCTAAACACAAAAATCAATATTTTCACTTATGAAAAAATATATTTATAAAATTAATTATATCTAAATTCAAAAACACAAATTATATTACAAAATTCGTTAAACAATAAAAAATATTCCTGAGCGGATGCACGAATCTAGTTGTAAAGTAAAACAGAACTTAATAAGAAAAGTGGAAACGAGAAAGTTTGAGAGAAATGGTCACAATGATCTCTTCTCTCTTAACATGAACCTTACTTTGTAATACATGAACCTTCCTTTGTTGATTACAAAGACAAATCAAAACCAAAGATTAAACTGACTTCATTCAGACCCACCAATCCCGGTCTCCATAACCGGTTAAAATGGTCGGTGGTGACCGGTGGCCAGAACGTTTTTGATAAGACCCGGAATTGCCCGAGACTCATCACGACTCTACAGACTCTTCTCTCTTACCTAACTGAAACTACACATGACTAAACCACAAAGTCTTCTGTTCAAACTAATACACACACACACACACATTTTAACACAGCTTACATTTTCTTTTCTTCCTCTCTCTGTATTGTCTGGTTATACATTTTGTAGTCAAAGAGCTCAATGGTTGTGTCTTTAAGGTCTCCAATTGGTTATGGATGTCTCCGGGGCACAGACTGCTTCAACTGTTAACCGTTTCAACACGTTCGGACACGGGTCTTTCCCGAAATTGCTGTTGGATATTGTCACTGCGCATCTCGCTTTCCCTACACACTTCTGCATATAACAAAACACACCGCGGTTATAGAAAAAAACAAAACAAAAGAGTGTTGATTGCAATACTGTATGTGTAAACATTTACCCTCTCTAAGATAGCGTATGAGGTAGCTGCATGACAGTCTCCTTGTTGGTAACTCCCGCAGGTTCCTAAAGGAGTCCCAAAGCTTGCAAATTTAATAGCTGATATTGCTTGACCAGGACTACATTTCAAATGAACCTTGGGCCTACGAAATGTTTGTCCTTTTCCGTAGCTTTCGATTTGCCAGTTCTTGATATTCGGGTGGTATTCAGAAACTTCAGCACAAACTCCAGATACCGATCTTTTGACCAACGAGACAGTGGATGGGTTTCCACCAAGTTCCTCGAATATGACCAATAGATTTTGGCTCGGCTTTAACCATGATCTCGGCACATGGTACCATTTCTGTGTAGGCTGACCACAGCCGGAATTGCACTTGTTCGGTTTGTATGTTCCGGTGTAGCTACAGTGACCACAGTCACCAGTCGCAAATGCTGTCCAGTATCTCCCAATGCTCTCACCGTTTACCCAAATCTGACCTTTTCCCATTCCTTCCATGTCCAAAGCAAGCGGCTCGTTTCCTTCAGGTGCATCAAAATAAGTCTGAAAACAAAGACAACAAGTCCTTAGTTCAGATTATAAACTAGTAAAAGCTTTGTCGAGTCGTGTTTGATTCAATCTAACCTTGTGCCATGTTAGAGGCTGAGGCTTTTGTACAGTTAAAGACGCATCCATCCACCCAAAAGAGGGAGTGTTAGTTGGATATGCAAGATTCATAGCTTCACCTTTCAACCCCACCTGATGAAAACAGAGTTAAACAACTGAATGCCGAAAAAAATGGAAACCAAGAGAAAGAAATCACAAGGAAACGTGACTGATAAAACACCTGATATGTCCATTTTTGCCACGACAAATCTCGTTTCCCTTGAGACAACCCGTGCAATGCCACCGGACCCAAGATTCCAGTATTCCATGACTCGAAGTGTCCACCCACATTCTTTAAATTTGAAATAATAAAAGGGATCAGGACAAGAAAATAACGAAACAACTTTAGCAGCGGATGAGAAAAGGTATACTAACTGGTAATCCAACAGCAACACTCAACAACGCAATTCTGTTAGTTCCAGAATGTAGGTTGATCTTTCCCTTATAAGTGAATCTCCTGTTTTGCCTTGTTCCAAAGGCAGAACCTGCAATTTATATATTGAAGTTTGCATATCAGAAACTCTCTAATGGAATTTAATGGGCCAAAACTATGGGAAGTATCATACCCGAAAGCTGTCCATTGACAAATATATGCACAGCATGGCCTGTAGATTGAATAATGAGAGTTGGTAGTTCTCCTCCATGCAAGAATGATTCAGTTTCTCCAATATCAACACTACATACAAGTTCCATTTGGTTAGCAACGAGGTGACAAATTGGGGTTGTTTTTTGTTTTTGTTTTTTACCTAGTCATGTACCAAAGATAATCACTTGTGTCACGCGTGACATTTATCTGCTCCAAGAGTCCCTGAGTGGTGAATGTGGAGCTGTCATCTAGAGAAGAAAGATCTTCTAAATAACTCTGCCACTGGAAACTCCCCGTGCTTGTTGGCAACATTTCCATCTGTGATGTTTGAACTCCAACCTGAAATCAAACAAGTGAAATCCACAATTTTCAGAAAATTTACACACACAATTTGAGTTTCCCGAATTCAGAACAATGATATACACTTTACCTTCGCAGTATTGAAGACTGCATTTCTACAGTCAGGAAGAATGCTGATCGACCAAGGAGGTAAGTTATAATGAACGTTGTTAAACAGTACTCTTGCTGCCGATTCTGTATCATAGTTTGCAAGGAATGCTGAACAATCTCCTGATTCTGAAGAGTATACATGAGCCTGGGAAAACAAAGTCAAAAGAAGAGTGACAGAATTTAGTTAAAGGTACAGAAAATTTATACAATTAAACCAAACTATATCTACCAAATTAAATTCGTTCTTACCTGTTGCTTGTTTCCTAATGATGTAACAACGGGATCAGTTGAAACCAGAGCTTTTTCACACATCTTGATAGCTCTGTGGAGCTCCTTTAAATGACCATATTTAGGTTGCCTGATTAAACCTATTTAACATTTAACAACAACTCACTTAGTACATAAAGCTTCACATTAACCTATCATTCCAATGAAATTTTAGGAGCTCTAGTTAGTTTCTTGCCCTTACCATATTCGTCGATTGGAGCATCATAGTCATAGCTGGTGGTGACAAATGGACCTCCGGCTGTTCTTCCAAAGTTGGTTCCTCCATGATACTGTTTTCAAGGAAACAGAGAAAGATTGCCCTTAGATAAACCAAATCTGATAACGATGATGTATTAAGTGGTTAGCTCTACATACCATGTAGTAGTTAACAAAGGATCCTCCTTTTTGTATGAAACGTGCAACCGCAAAAGCCAGATCCTGAACTGGTCTATGATGCATTGGCCCACCGAACTCAGTGAACCTATATGATACATTTTACAATTCAAAGGGTAAATGTTTTCGATTTGAAGATGATAAGTCCATGAACAGATATAACGTAACAGCAAATGAGAATCTGTACCAGCCGCTCCATGCCTCTGTCCATATCGTGGGCTTGTATGGCTTGTTCGGAGCAAATGAATCACAGTAGAAACCGTTGCATGTGTTTATCTGTCAATAAAAACCAATGAGTTTCTATACCAAAGCAAACTAGTTTTGAGTTCAGTCTTCAGAGAGATTCAACTGCTCCAGAGCAATTAACTAACCACAACTTATAACTAAGCTGATGCGATCAAGAAACTAACCACAGGGTCAGGGGCATCGTCTTCTTTGCACATGACCCACGGGACACCAGTCTCAGTTGCTATAGCCATTTTAGCAGCCCATGTCATGTAGTTGTGACCTTCAGCGCCCAATATCTGGCCTTGTCTTCCATACTCATTCTCAATCTGCATTCGAATAAAAGATGACATCTTTCTGTTAACTCACAGAGATCCTAAAATAGACA